TCAGCTTTGGTTTTTGCTGTCACTGTCGTTTGCCACAGGGAAAGTGTTGGGCTACGCACCCCAGATACGTCACTGGTCACATGTACATAGTTTTGTTGCAGGGATTCGTAGGGTCAGAAGCGTCCTCGGAAATACTGCTGGACTCCGCCCAGCGGCCCTGTAACCCTTCTCGGCGTCGTGGGCTGGCACGATGATCCTTGCCTCACTTTTCTGGGTGGACTCAGAATCACTTTCATGTTTGTAAAGTCCGTCCCCTCGCACGTAGTTTTGGGGTAACTTAACCACGTTGCGTATAGTGGCCGTGTCGCTGCTCTCTGTGTGTCTCAGGTCTCTGCAGCACTGGGCCAGCCCCGCCCGAAGCACAGGGGCGCAGGTGACCGGGGCGGGGGGCTGCTGCTGTGCACTGCTGCTGTGCACTGCCGCTCCGAGAGGGCTGTCCAGGTGTCGCACGGCCACGTTCTAAGTAGCAAGGTGTGAATCAGCCCGCGCCGCGCTCGCGGACAGGCGTGACAGAACCCCGGGGCCAGCACGACGGGACACTCGGGAAGTTCAAGGGTGTCCTCCTGGACCAGCATCCACGTGGCGTCCACTGTGCCTCCTCACTGGGTAGCTTTTCTCTGCCGCCTTAAGGACATCGGGGTTCCTGTCGAGGCCCGTGCGGGTGGCAGTCACGCGGGCATTGTCCCTCCTCCTCTGTCGTGCCTGTGGGTCATTTCCTTGTGGGGCCTCGCGTGATGCCCACACTAAGCCATGGCCTGCACGTGGTGGTCTGTGACAGCGGCTTGGCGCAGGGTCCCACAGCGAAAACGAGCTCAGTGGATGAGTTTAGTTACACCCCGCAGGTGCTTATCCTTCATCGTCAATACAGTCCCGACGGGACGTCCTCTTCCACACGTTAGATAAGCACCGAGCCTCACGGGGCCGCATCTCGTGTCTGGCTCCCAGCCCAAAGTGGCAGGACCGAGATAGGACGCGACGCAGGTAGAGCCCATCACGCTTGTAAGCATTATGTGTCATTGTCATTCCAGACCGAGATAGGACGCGACGCAGGTAGAGCCCATCACACTTGCTTGTAAGCATTACGTGTCATTGTCATTCCAAAACTCTTGGCACGGTCACTGGCCCTTTACAAGGCCTTTCTCTGCCTTTCCTCCTCCTCTGTCCCCTGCACGACCCCCCATGCTGCAGCAGAGCGCTCCGCGGCCACGGCGAGGCCTTACGTGGACTCCGACTTTGGCCTTGGCCTTGAGTGTCAGTCCACATGTTCCAACAGGTTCTGTCTGGCTGGCATTAAACTGTAGGCAAGAATGTCCTCCGGTAGACTCTAAACTTGAGGGGACTGCCTCGTACAGGGCTCACGGGATGAACAGCCAGAATCCCCTAAGAAAGGAACACAGACTGGGCTTTTCAAGGACGCAGACTCAAGATGTTGGTAGCAGAAGCGGCGTTGCCACCCACAGCCTCGAGTGGAGAAAATGTCCACTTGTTAAAAGTCCACGCCTTGTCCCAACGAGGAGGGGAATCCTCGTTGGGTGAAAAGGGCCACAGAACTCTGGGCGCACCCTGAGTTAAACTGGAGGGGGGCAGACACAGGCCCCGATGAGAACTCTCGCCGTCAGCCCGGAGTCTGGGCTGGTGCCAGGGCACGTGGCGCACGTGCCTGCCGCCCGGCGCCCACCTCGCCGTAAGTGGCAGCAGAGGACCATGTATTCTAAGCTCAGGCCCAGACTGGCTTCTTGTGGGGTTTCAAAATGAACCCTGGTTTTCGTTGCGATCTCACTGAAACGCCGCGTCGGTCGGGTTAGGGTGCACAAGGCGTCGGCGACGGGCTCAGACATCTGACGAGATGATCCCCATAGCGCTGGCCAACAGCCCCGCTGTATCCCATAACTCCCGGGGTGTGTGCGTGTGCGCGCGTGCGAGAATATTTAAGATCTCGTTTCTTAGCAGCTTTTAAGCCTGTAACGCGGCATCGTTAACCCCGACGACGTGCTGTGCGTCACATGTTCAGGAGCCATTCTTCGTCCCCCCGCAGGTCTGACCATTGGCCATCGCCCCCCGCCCCCACTTCTCAGCCCCCAGGACGCCATCCCCTTCCACGGCCCCACGAGTTTGACTTTTCTTAGATTCCACGTGCAGGTGACAGCATACCGTCTGACTTACCCCTGGATAGACACCTGCTCTCAGAGACCAGAAACACCAAGACAGTAACTGTGCACAGTACCTGGAAAACAGTGGACAGCGACGTGAGTTAGGACACAGGATGACACTTCTCGCGACCACAGCTTTAGCATTATGTTCTACGGCACAGTCCAGAACGGTTTTGATATAAAATATATGTTTTTGATGATCAGATACGGTACGATTTTTAAATGCGGATGGAGCTGACATGGTAGCTCAGACCCAATTATCTGTCAGTTCATGCTTTACCGGCTCACTGAGTGAGTGGCCCAGGAATAGGTTTTTGGTATTTGAAGCTTTACTAGAATAATTACCTGCTTCACGCCTGCATAAAAGGATTCTAAAATTCGTAAAAGGCATGCTAGTATTTCAGGTGGAAGTTCCTTAGAATTTTCTGTGTATTAAAAATTCACTTCCCAACAGTTTTCTGATTGAAACCTTGACTGAAAGATTTCTGTACACCAGGCTTGAGGCTTTTTGGTTAATAGTGTTTGGGTGAAACTAATTCTAATAAAACCCACAGAAGAAGAGACAAAACCTTGCAGCTGTGATACAAATGGGGCTCAGTCAGAGTTGGCCACTGCTTTGGTCCCAGGTGGGTGGGACTCAGCATGTGCCACCAGGTCACAGAACCACCTGTTTGGGATGCACCTTAATGAAAGAAAAGTGTCCAACCGCACTGTGGCATAATAGTCGTAATCCTTAGTTGGTGCTTATCGAAAGATCCCATTTGCAAATTATACAGAAATATCTCCTATTTACATAAAAACGAAACAGACTAGTTAGGTTTCCATAAGTATCTCACAGTCTGCATCACTTCTTCAGAGTCAGGTTCAGCCTGCGTTATCGATGCCCATAATGTCCCATGACTACCTCCCTGCGTGTCACCACCGGAGAGGGTGGTGTGGCTCTTCCTGACTAAAAAACACGGCTTCTTTATCTCAAGACTTCTCTTCAAGATGCCGCCACCAGTTCTCGAAGCTTCATGCTGGTGATCTCACCAGAAAATGCCAAAGGAAGGTTTTCGGGCCCAGGTTATGTGTTTATGTGCAATGGCAATGTGCTTCCTGAGAAGCCCTTAATTATGTTTTTTTTTTCTCTAGGATGGAAAATGCAAGATGTGCATATTGAAATTGATGACACCCAAAACTGAGGCGTGAAATCCAGGTTTCTGAAAGGAGCTCTCATCACGTCGCTGGGCGAATTCCGGGCGGATGGGAGGTTCACTCGGACCCCACGGGGCGAGAGCCAACAGCAGGACCACAGACCGGCCGCAGAGCGGGCGAGGAGGACACGCGTTTGTCGGTGGGTT